TATACCCTGTCTAATGGAAGCTCAGCATTATCACTGAGATGAGAGGTAGATTGTGTTGGTTATGTGTGGGAAGAACGAGGAATGACCCCACGGTGGCCATATAGCATCCATTAGCACTGTTCACCACCAGATTATCAAGCACTGAAAGGTTGGTGTCCATGAGAGTCCTGTCTTGAGACGTGATGTCTGTGATGAAAGGGGAGGAGGGAAGAATATTCAAAACACTTGCCATACATATTTTGTTGTTTTCCAGTCAACACTATTTCAGCCATGTCACGACAGCTTGTAAATATTAAGTTTGGCCCAGATAAACCAATGGTTAATATCAGCACTGTCCCACCCAATCCATCCAGAGCCTGAACAACCGATCCTATTTCATCTCCACAAACATTTAAGTGCTGGGGACCTAGCCTAACCCAGTCTACATAGAGAGTCAACAATAGAGTACTGGGGACCTATTCTAACCCAGTCCACACTGGGGGTCAACAATAGAGTACTGGGGACCTGTTCTAACAAAGTCTACACAGCAGGTCTAGCAATAGTGTACTGGGGACCTATTTTAACCCAGTCTACACAGCAGGTCTAGCAATAGTGTACTGGGGACCTATTCTAACCCAGTCTACACAGCGGGTCTAGCAATAGTGTACTGGGGACCTATTCTAACCCAGTCTACACAGCGGGTCTAGCAATAGAGTACTGGGGACCTATTCTAACACAGTCTACACAGCGGGTCTAGCAATAGTGTACTGGGGACCTATTCTAACCCAGTCCACACTGGGGGTCAACAATAGAGTACTGGGGACCTATTCTAACCCAGTCTACACAGCGGGTCTAGCAATAGTGTACTGGGGACCTATTCTAACACAATCTAGACAGCGGGTCTAGCAATAGTGTACTGGGGACCTATTCTAACACAGTCTACACAGCGGGTCTAGCAATAGAGTACTGGGGACCTATTCTAACCCAGTCTACACAGCGGGTCTAGCAATAGAGTACTGGGGACCTATTCTAACCCAGTCCACACATTGGGTCAAGCAATAGAGTACTGGGGACCTATTCTAACCCAGTCTACACAGCGGGTCTAGCAATAGAGTACTGGGGACCTATTCTAACCCAGTCTACACAGCGGGTCTAGCAATAGAGTACTGGGGACCTATTCTAACCCAGTCTACACAGCGGGTCTAGCAATAGTGTACTGGGGACCTGTTCTAACCCAGTCCACACATTGGGTCAAGCAATAGAGTACTGGGGACCTATTCTAACCCAGTCCACACTGGGGGTCAACAATAGAGTACTGGGGACCTATTCTAACCCAGTCCACACTGGGGGTCAACAATAGAGTACTGGGGACCTATTCTAACCCAGTCCACACTGGGGTTCAACAATAGAGTACTGGGGACCTATTCTAACCTAGGCCACACTGGGGGTCAAGCAATAGAGCCCAGTCCCCAAGGGCTGCCTCATGTTTAAGGTATACTTTGAGCAAGTAGACAAGTGTTCAATAGTTTGCCCATTAGTTGCTATTGCTCAAGTGAGTGCTGGAAAAAACACTTAAATTTTCCTGGGATGCAGAGTCACAAGGGTGAGTGAGTGAGTATCCGCTTTGAACATTATTTCAGTTATTTCATGGCATGTAAGCTTGATGGGGAGGAAAGCCCGAAGTGTTTCTGGTCCTATAATGAAGGTCACAAGAAATATGACTGGTTCAGTCATGATAGATACTTTACAGTTAAATATTGATAAATAAATTGCAAGTGATTCCATGGCATTTGATTGGCTAACCAAGCAATTTTTGTCCTGCAAACTACCAGACTACTGTTTCCTGATTGGCTGATAATAGAAAGGGCGGAGTTTTGTGATTAATGCACTGAACGATGCAACTGATTTCGTATTGTTATCTTCATTTGTTTTTTTGTGTTTATGATTAAATAAACAGTCTGTGAAGTTATTATTGTAGACATATTTACTCATCAGAAGTGATTTTGATATGCTTTTGCGTTTATGGAGGGATAAACCTGAAAATTTGTACGCAACCTCCATGAACGCAAAACATATGAAGTCAATTCTTAAATAACCCCAACTGACAAAAGCCCCTGGCGGTTACGTTCCCTTCGAGGAAGGTCCAGGAAGAACACTGCAGGGTCAAAAAGAACAATTCCTACTTTAGGAGATTTTGCCTACACTCATGGCTGATCTGTGTTTGACATACATTTGATAGAGAACATTCTCTGGTGGGAAACAAACCATCCTCTACCTATGACCGTCCCAATCCACACCACACTGGCAGCCTGTTTCCAGTGCATGCCCTTCGTTTATTTACTCACACGATTCTTGTTCAAGAATGACTTTAACTGTCACATCTGTTTTAGATTTACAGTCGATATTCATGTCAGAGTGTTTACATAATTCAACTGAAAGATATTCAGGATGTGAAGACAACAGCTAGCAATCATGTCTTCTATTCACAATAACAGTCATAGATACTCTTAGTCCAAATAGTCTACAGCTCATTCCGACAAGTGGGTTGTAACGTACCTAGATGCGGGGCACATGTAGTCCTCCCAGATGCACACTCGTCCTGGACCTGCATGTACTTTATAGTTGTGTTTGACACTTGCTTAACTAAACTAGTCTTAAACTAGCATACACTAGGATGTGTCGGACAATCAACCTATGACTAGTCTTAAACTAGCATATACTAGGATGTGTCGAACAATCAACCTAAGACTAGTTTTATACTAGCACACACTAGGATGTGTCGGACAATCAACCTATGACTAGTCTTGGTCTTGCATTATGACACTAGGATGTGTCGGACAATCAACCTAAGACTAGTTTTATACTAGCATACATTAGGATGTGTCGGACAATCAACCTATGACTAGTCTTGGTCTTGCATACACTAGGATGTATCGGACACTGAACTAATATCTGTTCTTGAACTTGCATACACAAGGGTGTATCGGACACTGAACTAATGTCTAGTCTTGAACTTGCATACGCTTGGATGCGTGGGACACGTAACTAATAACCAATCTCGGACTTCATATACTCGGATGTATCAGACACTAACTTAAGTAGAACATGTCTCTCCCTTCATTTTTTAATACAGTATCTGACACCAAAAATGGTTTGCAAATCCAAAAAACAATAATAGCAAATAATAGACTGGGAAGATAATGGTTTCATGCAGCAATATTCATTAGCTGTAGAAATTTGGCAGGAAACGAACAAGACATTTAACAAAAATTAATTTGAAAAATATGAAAAGACAATAGTTGCACATGTATAGTTTCATAATAATCTGATCCAAATACAGGACCAAATCACATTTGTCCTGAAGCTGAAAACATTGTAAGAAATTACACCTAAACAAAGACAACTTATATGATCAGAACCACCGAGAGTTCTCCACCACCACAGTGAGATTAATAATACTACAATGTTCTTACAACAAGAGCTACCTAAAAATAAGGCATAGTTCCAAGTTTATCTAGCCAAGTTCATAGCATATCCAAATAAGGTTTTGGCTGAAATTTTATATTTAATAAATATTCAAATCAAAATATACAACTATTGTAATTGATGGGCAGGTCAATTAAATCATTAAACTTAACACAAAAAATATTATGTTGAGAAAATGTAATGAGGACAAAGAAAACATTCACAGCTATTACTAAGGAACATAAGGGTATCCACGTCTCCTGGCGTCACTGCCTCCAGGCTGCATGCTATGCTGAGGGCCACTACTTACACAAATCATTCAGTTGAGAGATTTACTTGACGACAGTCTGCAGGCTGAGATTTGTTGGCTTTGATGACACAAGGCACATAGATTACAAGCGCATTCAACAAATAAAGACACCCCCTACTTCTAGAAATATCCAATTTATTGATGTGTGTCAGAGTCGACTGTTTTGACACCTGACATGTTCGCGCAGCAGCTTTGTGGGAAGCCCTGTGGTGCAGACACTTTAAACATATGTAAATGTCCACATCTGGGACTCTTTAAAAGTTACTTTTTATAATTCATGATTGCGGATGATGTATAAAGCTTGAGAGTGATCCCTGGTGTCACGGGCCATGACAGTTGTGATGTATCTAGTGATGTACAACATATTGCGCAGGTTTCTGTGCAGTGAAGCCAGGACTGCCTGTTTCATCATAACATTAGATGTCCCACTGTGACCAAGTGTGACCCACTAGGAGCAAAGGGACCTTATGGGTGCTGGGATACAATGGTGCTGTGACGTCAAATTTCTTCAATGAGAATCGCCATGTGTGTTGACTGTATAAAAATATCTTGTTTTTCTCTCGTTATTTCGTAATTTAATAAACTACCCTCACATCCTTACAGTGCAGTTACAATAGGGTTTATCTACAACAACTGGTATCGAAGTGTATAAGTGTCCATGTCTTCAAATGTGGGAAAATTTGTACATTGAACTTCATATGCAGAGATTCAGTTTCAATCTCTAGTTTTAGAGTCAGAAAGTACCAGTAACATGAACCTTTACATCTCTGAAGCCTGAATATCTGATACATCACACAACCTAGGACATAGTCATGATTTCGTCAAATCAGTTCAAAATGATCAACCAATGTTGTCAGCGTATATTAAATTCTAATGTGCATGTGTTTTAACATTCAAGCCACTCTTTCAAACTGTTCCGACATCCAGTCATTTGTAGCCATTGACTATTTCTTGAAAGACTAAAGTTTGACTTTCCTTTGAGGCATACAGATAACCTAATAAATAAGCTATCTTGCATTTCTTCCGGGATAGAAACCCTCTGATTTGAAGGTTTAGAGGGGAACTTCTGTTTCTGTAATTCCAAGATACAACCATAGTATTCTGTTTATTCCACTTAGTGAGTATAACATGTTTAAGATCATCATCACTTGGTGGCGATAAATCAATTCCACATTCTAAATAACAACTAATTTGTCCGATATGGCCGCCCCTAAGGGAGGAGCCTGTGAGTCTTGTTGTCACTCACCTGCACTACGACATCACACTCGTCTCTCCCCAGGAACAGCATGGTCTTGGGAAGACAGAAGCGTTTGGACTTCTCCACCAGATACCAATCTTCTTTTGACCCACCATCTTCCCCGTCCTGAAACATGAAACAAACTCATGAAACAAACATGTGGTGCTTTGGCCTACAATCTTCCCCGTCCTGAAACATGAAACAAGTTCATGATACAAACATGTGGTGCTTTGGCCTACAATCTTCCCCGTCCTGAAACATGAAACAAGTTCATGATACAAACATGTGATGCTCTGGCCTACTATCTTCCCCGTCCTGAAACATGAAACAAACTCATGAAACAAACATGTGTTGTTTTGGCCTACTATCATCCCTGTCCTTGAACAAGCTGTCTCCCACACTGAAACATGATCAAGACTTTGAAACAAGAGTCATCAGGAGATGACATATTCTCCCACTTTAGTGTGACTGGAAAATAGAGTTTGGCGACTGATGTTGCACTTTTGGCTAATCGCCATTGGATACCTTCAGTTCAATGAAGAAAAAAATATTAAAAGCCCAAATCATCAAAAGGCTCTAGTTCACCACTCGACTGATCTGTATAGCAAGTCTTATCAGAAACATTCATCGATTTCGAGTCCTGCTCCAGAAACCAGCATTACCCTCATTTTCAGTATAATAATAACAATAATAACAATATAAGAGAAAAAAAATCATCCAAATCATCAAAAGGCATCAGTTCAACACCAGATTCATCTGTATAGAAAGTTTTGTATGGAAATATTTAACGCTTTTGGCAACAGAAAACAGAAGCCAGACAGACGGACGGACAAGCTGATCACTATATCCTTCCGTTTTTCAAACTAGGGGGATAACAAACAACAATTTTTTTTTGTCTAAACTTCTCTAACTTTTTATTGGTTAGAGTCAAGTTAAGAATCAGGAAGAGCCTAGTGTTCATCATCAACAGTTTTCTTGCAAAACACCTGTGAATATATTTGGGAAGGTGGTGTACCATGTCTGCATTACAATGAGGCCTACTAAACACAATGAGTATACAGGGCTCGACTTAGCTGTATATAACATGCATCAGTGCAACCTATTATTGAAAAATGCAACCTAATATTTATGTCCACACACACCAAGTGCATGTCAATTTTTTAAAATTTGTGTCTAAACCTTGACACATCTACACAATATCGTCTTTGAACACATTCAATACCTCTGAGGTTTTTTTTATACTAAGTCAATAACCCCTATTATTGTGCTATTTTTGAGGCTTCATGTAGTCAAAATGTGGATACTTCAAGATTATGTGCAGGATTCAACTTTCATAAATTTATGGGTACAAGGTGCAACCAGGTTTTGTCTGGTGCAACTAGGTTTTCATCTCAACATGCACCTGGTGCAAGTTAAATCAAGTTCCTTAATGAGCCCTGAATATACTAACAACTCTGCACGAAATCATCTATACAGACGTCATAGACATGCCACCAGTGAATCCTGGCAAAGGAAAAGGGATGCAACTCTGCACAGTGCTGTGTAACCAGAAACCCTGAATCAGCCACTCCCCGACTGGTGAACCTGGTGAAGGTGGTGTACAGTGTCTGTATTACACAGAGGCCTACTATACACGGTGTATATACCAGCAATTGTACCAACTCATCTATACAGACAGCATAGACATACACCAGTGTTGTGTAACCTTAAACCCTGAATCAGCCAGTCCCCAACTCTGGTGAATCTTGTGAAGGTGGTGTATAGTGTCTGTATTACACGGAGGCCTACTATACACTGTGTATATACCAGCAATTGCATCAACTCATCTATACAGACAGCAAAGACATACACCAGTGTTGACAGATGGGGTCACATGCATGCTCCCAGTATCGAAATGCATGAGCACACATGATTCAATAGCAATGATTCAGTGGCAATATCTCTGACAATAAAGTTGTTGTGTTTGGTTTCTTTGAAAATATACTCCATTTAAATTACAGTTATTACATATATTAATAAACTCAAATGTATTTCTTTATTAACATAGCTTTTGTTCTGAAAAAGAACTTGGTGAAAGTTATTACCAAGATAGTCTAAAAGCCCAGAACTCTCTTTTGTGTTTAAACAGTGAATATGTGGCTGTTTGGTGGTGTCTCTCTTCTATAACAGTGGCCTTCATGGGTATTCAGGCCTGGCAGGAACAGGCAAACCATGGTCCTTCCACCACAATCAGGAACAAGCAAACCATGGTCCTTCCACCACAATCAGGAACAAGCAAACCATGGTCCTTCCACCACAATCAGGAACAGGCAAACCATGGTCCTTCCACCACAATCAGTAACAGGCACACCATGGTCCTTCCACCACAATCAGGAACAAGCAAACCATGGTCCTTCCACCACAATCAGGAACAGGCAAACCATGGTCCTTCCACCACAATCAGGAACAGGCAAACCATGGTCCTTCCACCACAATCAGGAACAAGCAAACCATGGTCCTTCCACCACAATCAGGAACAAGCAAACCATGGTCCTTCCACCACAATCAGGAACAGGCAAACCATGGTCGTTCCACCACAATCAGGAACAGGCAAACCATGGTCGTTCCACCACAATCAGGAACAAGCAAACCATGGTCCTTCCACCACAATCAGGAACAGGCAAACCATGGTCCTTCCACCACAATCAGGAACAGGCAAACCATGGTCCTTCCACCACAATCAGGAACAAGCAAACCATGGTCCTTCCACCACAATCAGGAACAGGCAAACCATGGTCCTTCCACCACAATCAGGAACAGGCAAACCATGGTCCTTCCACCACAATCAGGAACAAGCAAACCATGGTCCTTCCACCACAATCAGGAACATGCAAACCATGGTCCTTCCACCACAATCAGGAACAGGCAAACCATGGTCCTTCCACCACAATCAGGAACATGCAAACCATGGTCCTTCCACCACAATCAGGAACAAACAAACCATGGTCCTTCCACCACAATCAGGAACAAGCAAACCATGGTCCTTCCACCACAATCAGGAACAAGCAAACCATGGTCCTTCCACCACAATCAGGAACATGCAAACCATGGTCCTTCCACCACAATCAGGAACAGGCAAACCATGGTCCTTCCACCACAATCAGGAACATGCAAACCATGGTCCTTCCACCACAATCAGGAACAAACAAACCATGGTCCTTCCACCACAATCAGGAACAAGCAAACCATGGTCCTTCCACCACAATCAGGAACAAGCAAACCATGGTCCTTCCACCACAATCAGGAACATGCAAACCATGGTCCTTCCACCACAATCAGGAACAGGCAAACCATGGTCCTTCCACCACAATCAGGAACATGCAAACCATGGTCCTTCCACCACAATCAGGAACAAACAAACCATGGTCCTTCCACCACAATCAGGAACAAGCAAACCATGGTCCTTCCACCACAATCAGGAACAAGCAAACCATGGTCCTTCCACCACAATCAGAAACAGGCAAACCATGGTCCTTCCACCACAATCAGGAACTCATGTCATCTTGGTTCAGGGAAACAATCTGAACTCCTAAAGCAGTTCAGTATGGGTCTGGCAGGTTCATCCTGGGCTCTGGCGCATGCAATGCCTGCAAACTGTTGTAGAAGCAGGTCACATGACAGTCCTTTATAAAAACTACATGTGCTCAGAGCCCAGCACACACCATGTTGGACAAGTACCCAATATAACATATTACTTGTTATATTTCACAGGTATGTCGTGATAAATAAAATACACATCAGCCAGACCGCGCCTCTGTCATTCCTGCGACTGTTAATTAAATAATTTATCGAAATAATACCATTATTCTGTCATTATTCTGTCGAACCAGACAGACAGGTGGAGACAATGTCGTATTCATGTGCTCCAGATGTTTACAGACAGCATATCGCATCCATATCCATAAATCAATAAGTTGATAACATTACCTACATACTCATTAAATTGTCAAAGAGAACTTGTTTAAACAAACTCGAGAAGGCAAATAGGAGTTTTTTGTTGTGTCCCCAACGAGAATACATTTTTGGTAAGCATTGTGACTTACAAAGAGTGTAAAATGCATTCGAAGACAGTATTCATGGGATGTGTGTAACCACATCACCTGAGATTAGGGCTGCATCAGTTAACCTGTATTCTGTCTGTCAGTAGTGTCACTTAACCACAGATAACCTACCTGGATGATTCTGAAGAATAGGAGTAGCTTGGATTTATCACAGTCTTGAACACCCTTTCAGATAACCATGTGTGTCAGCTTCATGAGAGAAGAACGGGGGGGGGGGGTTTGTGATGTTGGGACCCAAAGCCAACCCAAGAAATGACAGACGAAATGTAAACTTTCAAAATTTTACTTGAACAACCATATCAATACGTTATCCAAATTTCATCAGAAAATAGAAGAAGACCCCCTCCCCGGAACCCCCCTCTGGATCCGTTACTGTTGATGTATCAACTACTCATCCAGGATCCAGCAACTGATGAACCTACGGATGTCACACAACTGAAGCTTTGACATGCACTTCATCACACCTGCTACTGATGAGTTTCCTTGGAGGTGACCTGCAGGCCTTCATTTATCCCATAGCAAAGTCGAACGCATAACAATCCCATTCTACACAACTCCAGGGAATGACTGTTCTCACAGAACAAATTTATCTTGAGGGACAAAGGTTGTGAATAACTGATTACAGAAGGCATGCAATGAAAACGGTTTAAATTACATGGTAGACACCTTTATTTAAGAGTTAGTCATCACTGAAGTGCGCAGCCGCTCAGTGGGTGTTGCTGTCGACCAATGAAAACCATAAGGGATTATATCTTTATAGCAAACTTATCCCCTGGGATTAACACTCTTTAATACATGCATACACACAGGTAATAAACACATGTGCTTACCTGTCACCCTGTTAACAAAAACATCCTGATTGATATCAACCGAGGTTATGAGATGACATGTTAAGAGGGGTTTCCTACGGCTAAACTTTTAATAGTTGTGTTATTAGAATCGCCTGACCTAGATTTGAGACCTTGTGGAGAAAAAAAAATAATGAAGTGATCCTTGTATCTTTCCATACCCATATTCCAAAGTCAG